TACATGCATAATGCACTATTGAATGAATCGTATTATTCAGGGGCAAACGACTACGATTCCGGTATAAGAATGTATCCGAGAAGGTTCTTTAGATCCAAGAGGATTTCAAAAACAATACGAATTACATTCTGCTTACAATTAGTGATTATTTCTTGGTACGCATCAAAATGAAATGTTTTCAATTGAATACATTGGTAGATCGACGAATTCCATGGGCATTTCACCAGTTATTAGCGCTTTGAAGAGAGAGATAACAGATTCGATGCATACCGAAAGAACAGCTCCATCAGAATCCATATGTATACGATGGTTGACGCTTAATCTTTTAACGGTTCAATATTCGAAACTTAATCCGCTTCAGAGCCAGTGAAATACAATTCTTACAATCGTTAATCTATCATGCATGGCGCACATCAAATTCCAAACGTTTCATGTGGTTTTCCTTTTCGAGGTCGTCTGAATAGTTTTTTCCAATAAGAATTACTTCCTCAATTGTTTCGGATAGAACCGATGCACAATGCAGATATTTCAGTTATCAATCAATCAGGTAAACTGCAATCTGAACTGAATCAAACAGAACAGTTGGTGAATTCTCAATATATCTCATAATGGAACTCACTTTGAGAAAAAACTGATATTAGCAGATTTTTAATGGAGTCTATTGCAACCTGTCAGTCATCAGAAATCATGTTTTTTTTAATGCACCTACAAAGTAATTGTATCCTGAGCTAGCACACGTCTGCAAAAGCAGTTGTTCGAATATGTTGACGAGATGGCCAACTAGCCCACATGCAATAATGAGAATAAAAGAAGATTCTTTTTATTGCACTATTCTTGAGTATTTATTTCAATGCTTTGAACAAATCATATAATCCTTTCATCACTCGCTACACATCCGATTGAGTGTCTTCTCGCTTAGTTTCTTAGAAAATTTTGAATGCTCATCGTCAGTAAACGACAGGATAGAATTTCTCTAGGCCTTTCCGAACTATGACTTGTAATGATGCCTGGATGAATGACTCATTACATTTGCGAGGTGATATCAACAGAGAAACAGATTAGAAATGAATTTTTATATTTACAGCAGTTTCGTAAATAAAACATCAGGCATTAAGCGATAATAATAATCACTGGGTCGCATCAAATAGAATGCAACAAGTCAACACAATAATTAATAGTAAGAACACAAGTATGAAAATAATTAGCGATATCAGGCCACCAATTATAATCATGGATGTAATTGGGAGGTTCTAGCCGAAGATCATAATTGTGGAATCTGGATTGACCACAGTCAATTTAAAGACCTTCAATGATCATTCCACCGGCCCCGCCACCTCCGTTGCATATCGCCGCACATCCTTTTTGACCTGGCTTCAGTGTATGCACCAAATGCCCAATTATTCGTGCACCAGACATTCTGCAATCCATTGGAAACAAGTTCATGATGTTGGATCTGACAAATTTCTACCGAACACTCAGTAGAAATCAACTGCTAAATCAATCAAATAAGCGATCGATTGGTAACGAACCCGATTGGATGACCTAGCGAGACTGCACCACCGTGGATATTCACTTTGGCATGGTCCAAATGGAATGTCTTCATTGAATGCAGTGGAACAACTGCGAACGCTTCATTAATTTCCCACAGATCGATATCTTTCACCTCGAGATTGGCCATTTTGAGAATCTGAAAGAGCAGTGAATAAACTATGCTTGAGAGTATCAATAACTGAAAGCGTTCTGCACTATTCACTCACTTCTTACGATGTTGACTTCTCTCACTTTTCATTAGAAGCACACATCAATTCTTCCGTCGAAAAATTTCATTATTAAAATTTTCCTAGACACCAAAGCCAACCTTTGGAATAACCAATGAAGGTGCTACAGCGAAATCAATGGGGTGTGTGGCTGCATCACCGTATGCCAACATTCTCGCCAGTGGTTTCAAGTTGTGCTTCTTCGCATAGTCCATCGTTGTCATCACAACCATCGCAGCTCCATCGTTTAACGTTGAAGCGTTCGCTGCTGTGATTGTTCCGTCTGAAAAGGCTTCGAGTGAACTCATCGATATTCTTCCAAAATAAGCAAAATGCCTATCGAATACTTGGATATGATGCACATTTTCTCACAATGATGGA